ACAGGAAATGTTGCTGCGAGTGACTTACTGTAGTATTTTGTACAAAGGTTCATCACAAAGGCCAGTGTTCTAACTTCAGTTACGTCATAGTTACGTCAGTCACAGGTAAATGTGACCCTGCAGTTTGAAGACAAATCGCCAGAGGCCACTGCTACACTGTCCATCGGCCAGGTTTCGTCCTGACGTTTCCCCGACGTCAGGACGTTTTGCAGTCGAGGGAACGACTATTTCATATTCTAACACTAATTAATTCTAACAATAGCGATAATTATAACAACAGAATTTCAGCTAAAAACATGGGACGGCAAACCATAACAGGAAACCGCAATTTCGGCGGCGTTTTCGGGAATGTTGCTACGAATTGTATGGCTGAGTCAACTGATACAGGCTATCACTTCATTTTAGATGATATCTCACGGCCAAGCCTGCACAAGGCAATCAGCCCCCTTTGAGTGCCCCTGTTCCTGGTGCTGACCTTGGTTCTGATCAAGAGGCCTGGAGCAGAGAAGTGTGATAAATCGCTAGAGGTCGCTGCTGCATGGTCTAGCATAGTTGACCTCCAGTGGAGTGATTCATATGCAAATCGTATTTTCTACCACTGTACTGTTGTAATTCGCTGTGCAATTCGTCTGCGTGATTATATCTGTCTTCACTCCAATTTATGGTTGTCCCTTATGCTTGTCTGCTCTGTTAACTCGGTGTACGGAGGGTGGATGGTCTTCAAATCCCGCTAAATACTCCACAACGCGACCAATTCTACCGTGTCTTTCACCAAACACAACCGGGCCGCCATGTTTGTTTACATGTTCGGTGATGTTGAATAGTAAAACTAGCGTGTCTTTCGTAGCAACATTCCCGAAAACGCCGCCGAAATTGTGGTTTCCTGTTATGGTTTACAGTCCCATGTTTTTAGTTGAAATTTTGTTGTTATGATTATCGCTATTGTTAGAATTAATTAGTGTTAGAGTATGAAATAGTCGTTCCTTTCACTGCAAAACCTGACGTCGATGAAACGTCAGGACGAAACCTCGCCGATGGACAGTGTAGCAGTGGCCTCTGGCGATTTGTCTCCAAACTGCAGGGTCACATTTACCTGTGGCTGACGTAACTATGACGTAACGGTAGTAGTACACAACTTACCATACAACCACAAGTATCAAAGCGCAAATCTACGCCGACTGAACACGCACCATAATTCAACTTTACAGTCTCAAAACAGACGTATTCCTCTAACATTTACCACAGGTTCCATCTCGATGCCATGCACAGAACAATGTCTGCACCTTTCTCTAGTATTGTGCAGCACTACTTTGTACCCGTACGGGGTTCGTCCATGAATACTGTGTTGTGCGGTCAGAACATGTCTTAAGGGTACCATTTAAGATCATTTAAGTCTCACGAACATGCAAATGTATGATTTTTATGCAGATCACGCCGTGTGGCGCTACACATGTCCATAAAACGTGACTCAAATGCTAAGTTATATATTGTGTAGTTTCTTCCGGATCTTAAGAAGCCAACACGACCAATACCGTGTCGCGCACGAAACACAACCGGGCCGCCGTGTTTGTTGACATGTTGAATAGTAAAAGTAGCGCGTCTCTTCCGTAGCAACATTCCCGAAAACGCAGCCGAAATTGCGGTTTCCTTTTATGGTTTGCCGTCCCATGTTTTTAGCTGAAATTTTGTTGTTATGATTATCGCTATTGTTAGAATTAATTAGTGTTAGAGTATGAAATAGTCGTTCCCTCGACTGCAAAACGTCCTAGGCCGTTCCTTGGCCGTTCCTAGGCCGTTCCTAGGCCGTTCCTAGGCCGTTCCTAAGCCGTTCCTTGGCCGTTCCTAGGCCGTTCCTAGGCCGTTCCTAGGCCGTTCCTAGGCCGTTCCTAGGCCGTTCCTAGGCCGTTCCTAGGCCGTTGTTAAGCCGTTCCTTGGCCGTTCCTAGGCCGTTCCTTGGCCGTTCCTAGGCCGTTCCTGGCCGATGTGGACAGTGCAGCAGTGGCCTCTGGCGATTTGTCTTTAAACTGCAGGGTCACATTTACCTGTGTCTGACGTAACTACGACGTAACTGAAGTTAGAACACTGGCCTTTGTGATGAACCTTTGTACAAAATACCACAGTAAGTCACTCAAAGCAACATTTCCTGTTATGTTTTACCGTCCCATGTTTTTAGACGTTGGTTTGGTTATCGCTATGGTTAGAATTGAAGTTATGATTAGGGTTAGAGTTGGAAATATGCGTCCCATTCACTGCAAAGCGCCCTGACGTCGGTGAAACGTATTGACAGTATCCAGCAGATGGACCGTGTAGCAGCGACCTCTGGCGATTTGTGAAGTGCAACAGCAGTCTACTGTGTGCGAGTCGAGTGCAGAACTCTCTTGATTGAAAATGTAGGCATTGGCAAGAGACACGTTTCACTTTTTCGTTCGGTCAATCATTCATTCGTTTCTTTGAGTTTACTGCATTCACAATATAAGATTTTGTTGACCGAACCAGACGCCAATCTCCCGTCGTCTGCGCGATTATATATAACGTTAATACGTTTTCATCCCGGTTTATGGTTGTGCCTTGTGCTTGTCTGCTCTCTTAACTCGGTGCACGGAAGGTTGGTGGTCTTCAAATCCCGCTAAATACTCCAGAACACGACCGATATTCTGCCGTACTGACATTAATTACAACCGGACCGCCATGTTTTGTTTACATGTTACTCTAGCATAAAAACAAAGGAAAGGAGTTTCAAAGGAGTCTCACATAGGGGATGATTGCGTACTGCACTTCTTCGTACTTCCGTCGTAGGACGATCAAGATCTCGTATATTGTCCAAAAGAAAATTAAATTTATAAGATTCGGAACAATATAAACTTACGAGAAAGAAGAGGGGTGTGCAAGGGGTGATTTTCAGCGAAATATTCCACTATAGCGGCCCCTGATGTCGAAACCTGGGAACGAGTCATTATTATCATATAGCCGGACGGCGCGGACCAATCAGAGGCCCGGATACCCGTGCTGTTATTT